ACTATCAAGGAACAAGGCCCAGTGCAATTCTTTAACATGTACACGATTTGAAAAAATCGCAAATGTGCTCACTATACTGAAACAAATGCTTTTCAACCGGTGTCTGCAGAGTTAAGAATTACATTAATGTGCAGCATTTTGTTCAAATAGAGACATATTTGTGAATACAAATGTTATAGTTTGTATTAAAGTATCATGATTTGTGCATGTAGCGATTAAAATGTGCATTTGTGGATCAGGTGACACGCGTGCATTCACCTCTCTTCTGAGTCGATTCTATTTGATTCATTTGAATTTTGAGACTTTCGTTCCGCCCTTTAAGCCTTGCCCAATCCACACACACACAGCTCGCGATCCACGCACAGCTGTAAAAGTATTTACAGTTAGCGAAAACGAAAAACTGCAGATCTGTCATCAGTCTAAGAAGCAAGAGTCTGGAAATGTGTCCAGACAATTGTTAATATAATTGATATATTCTTGATGAAAATTATAATTGTTTTTTTTTTGTTTGTTTTTTTATATTCCTGTAGTTCAACTGGCAGAGCTAAGAATGGCAAGTTTGTAGGGCCCATTTCCAGGAAACATAAAAGTGATTAATGTACTTTTAATACACTATAAATACACTAAATGTTACAGAAGCAAAATTGAGTAGTAGAAAAATATTGCATGTTTGAATAATTATCAGAGGTGTTTCTTTTTTGTTTTTTTTTCATTTTGTTCATTGTGCAAACATCTATGATGCAGGCAGGCTGAAAATTGGTATTTTACTTTTTTTAGCACTTTTGAGCACTTTTTTAAACACTTTTATACCACCTTTCCATAAATGTTTGAAAACTCTGTCCAACATTATTTAATTAACATTGCATAAGTAGTAGATCCACGCACAGCTGAGCCACAGAAAAATGGTTAGTAAGATGCATGTATAAAATTTATGCAGTACATGGATAATTGTGCGTGCATCTATTAATCATTTTGAGTCTAATATCATCCCATATTGTACAAGCATACTCATACAAAATTCTACAACTTTTACTCCTGCTGTTATTGGCCATTGCCTCAACTCTCATGCAGATCGTGCCCATTGTAAGTAGTCAAGTGTTTGTATCATGAAGTTTATATTAAGTCATTTGTATTCTTTATTAACCTTAACAAATTGGCGCCGTCTATCCCATTCTAACAGTACATGATATCTGTCCACACCTCATAGTCTGCCTTTCTTTCCATGTTGATTTTTATTGAATGCATCTCAAGTCAAGTCAGGTCACTTTTATTGTCACATCACCACAGCACATGTGCCTTGGTGAGTGAAATTCTTGGGAGCGTGCTCCAGACCATGCAGAAACAATTTACATATAAACATACAGACCTCAACAGATGACAATGTGCAATATACACATACATATAGTCAGTACACACAGTGTACTATTAGACATATTTACAGTTAGCACTACACAGTATGTAACAGTTTTTCATTTTCAGTTAGCGAAAACGAAAAACTGCAGATCTGTCATCGGTCTAGGAAGCAAGAGTCTGGAAATGACAAGTTTAACTTGTCATGTGATAAATCAGATCTTCAATTAATTTGGCCAAATCAGATCACTTAAGCTGTTTACACCAAGAACAAGAACTATAATGGTAAATATTTTAGCATCCACACCAATAGACAATAATGGTCTGTTTACTGTTATACACGCTGCAGTTACAGAATGTTGTCTGCTGTTTGTTGTTGTCAATGTTTTTATTGTTCATCGTGTGATAAATTCTGTTTGTTCCTGTCTTGCAGGATTTCTCACAGATTACTAAGTCCTTCTCCATCAGCTCTCCACAATATCAGCCCTACCAAAAGCTTCCACGTCTCTCTCTCTCGTGTGGCACTTCTGCTCTCAGTCCTTTACTGCCAACTTCCAGTCTTAGCATGTCTAGATAGATAGATAGATAGATAGATATATTCTTGATGAAAATTATAATTGTCTAAAAAAAATTATAATTGTTAACCATTTTAATTGGTCCTGCATTTAGTCACAATAGAAGCAAACAATGATTACTGGAGAATAACAATCTTAAAATATTGAAATATTGTTCTTAATCATTTTTTGCCTATTTGTTTGTTAAAGGGAAGAAAATAATATATTTACAGCTGTAGCCTCGAAACTCCTGGTTTGTAAAATATTATTTGGCATCTCATGACATTTTTTGTAAACAAATTCTCTTTTTATTTTTGAATATTAGATAATGTTTTTTTAAAGGGGTTTTATATTGCATGTTTCTTAGTTACATATTTATTTCCCAGTACCCATTAATTACAACAAACTGGAGGCACTATGTTTGTGTTGGAAAAGTGTGACATATCAATAAACATTGGGAAATTTGTACGTTTTTTTTTTTTTTTTTTTTTTTATTCCTGTAGTTCAACTGGCAGAGCTTGTAGGGTTTGTAGGGTCCATTTCCAGGAAACATAAAAGTGATTAATGTACTTTTAGTACACTATAAATACACTAAATGTTACAGAAGCAAAATTGAGTAGTAGAAAAATATTGCATGTTTGAATAATTATCAGAGGTGGGTTTTTTTTTTTTTTTTTCATTTTGTTCATTGTGTAAACATCTATGACATATGTAAGAGGCAGGCTGAAAATTGGTATTTTACTTTTTTAGCACTTTTGAGCACTTTTTTTAAACACTTTTATACCACCTTTCCATACATGTTTGAAAACTCTGTCCAACATTATTTAATTAACATTGCATAAGTAGTTGTCCTGCCAAATTTCTCTTTAAAAACTATAATCAGACTTTGATTTACAGCCATTTGAAATGTTCAAATTTTTGCTCTTCCAGGGGACTCTACTGGGCCCCTGGGGCTGGAAGGGCAGTAAAACATACCCAGATATATTCTCATCATTCACAACAAACTGTGCCGAGTCACATTGCTGACAACAACTTGTCAATATGTAAGTTGCAAGTCATAGTTATCTTAGAATAAGAATAGACCCCAAAAAATATCAGTGCCTTTTTGGAATGGGCTCCATTTATTTCATTAGATCAGGAGCAAGAATACAGTGCTGACAGTAAACAAAGACACCAATTTAAACAACCAATGCATATTGTGACACTTCATTGTACTATCACACAAAGTCAATGTGTCATTCAGTAATAAAAGGTGCAGACGGTGTGTGGTTTATGGTGCAAAAGCCACACAATTCATGCAGTCCCTTACCAAAAAGTAGTATACTTCAAGTTTATTTTAGTAAGATGGTGTGATTAGTTTAGACCTCATGATGGTTTAGAGGGGGGGATCTTTAGATTCTCCTGGAATATGTCTTTGCAATAGTTCACGTGGTGAATTCATAGTTTATTCGTCTCTGTTCGAGACAGAGATCTTACATTATCTTAGATTAAAGACCCCCAAAAAATCGACATCAGTGCCCATTTGGAATGGGCTCATTTTATTTTATTAGATCAAGAGCAAGAATGCAGTGCTGAGAGTAAACGAAGACAACCAATACATATTGTGACACTTCATTGTACTATTACACAAGGCCAATGTGTCATTCAGTAAGACAAGGTACAGACAGCGTGTAGTTTATGGTGCAAAAGCCATAAAATGTATGCAATATAAGACCTATATAAGATCTATAAAAGACCTAATTTGTAAATCTTGGTGTCAAATTTCTTATCTTTGTCCTCCTCGGGTGCTAAACATCTGTAATGTGCATGCTCATCTTGCTTATAATACAGTACAGGATTCATGTTGATCTTTCCCTGGTGCATCACCCTCAGTTGTGCATGTAGTGCCTGGAGCAATATAGCAATAAGATCAACATGAATCACTTTGTCACAATACCATGAACGCACGTTTACAGGTGGTGAAAGTCTTTTGTGCAAAACTGCAGCATGACATTATGGATGAAAAGTATTGAATATATATGCAACACATATACATATAAGGGACTCAATGCAGGTAGGGAACAACATATGGTAAATATTATACTATACAGAGAGCGTGAAATTAAAATAATAAACACATTAATCACAGTACACATATACCTTTGCTGTGCAGCATGGTATGAATTAGTGCAAACAGAATGTCAGGGTGTAGAATAATAGTGTCAGCGTGCAGTCAGTGTAACTGATAGAGTGCAGTGCATATGAGGCTGGTGGGGTGTGTGTGGTGTTACTGGTACGAGTTCAGTTCAGTCTGATTGCCTGTGGAAATAACTCGTCTCGCTGTCTGCTGGTGCAGGTTCTGCGATAACATCTGCCTGATGGTAACGGTGAGAGCAGTCCATGGCTCGGGTGGCTGGAGTCTCTGACGGTCCTCCTCACACACCACCTGGTGTAGATGTCCTGGAGAGACAAAACATGTATTTAGGGTGTGGTAAATCAGTAAACAATATATAGTATTTTTATTTCTAATTGTTGCTCTGGACTTACCATTGATTCTTGTTGGAGGTTGTTGGAGGTATGGGCCAAAAGAATCCCTCCACACCACAACTATTTTGCAGTTGTTCAGATGTGAAGTTTACTTTTATGGGCCATAACATCTGAGCTGTCGCAGTAGAGCTGTTTGCGAATGCAGTCTTCACAGATAACTGATGGGTTCAGACAGCAGTGCTGCACTTGGTGGCCATTGAATCTTCATCAACTGGCTTCATCCTCCTTCAAACAAACGGACAAAACAATAAGTCAACATTAACTCTAGATGACAATTAGAGATATCTGCAATTATAATTGCAGTAGTAAGAAATCGGATTAGAGATATCTTTAAATATGATTTGACTAGTCAAAACTCCATTTAAGATATCTGTAATTATGTCACAGATATCTTCAATAGACGCGTCACACATACGCAAATGTAATTAGAGATATCTCTAATTCAATTTCGACTAGTCACAATTATATTTTAAGATATCTGAATTGTACATGCTCCTGCTGTTGTGTGACGTGAGAATAAATTTACTCAGCTCCTCCCCCTACACAAGAGCGTTCACATTTCCTATCTCCTGAGACATTTCAACAACTTAACACAAATCTCGATGATATTCGAACGATGGTGTCATCACATTTACAGAGTGAGGGAACTGGAGCTTTCTCCATCTCTCGAAGTAGATCAGGTGAGTTTCAAGCTTTTAAAAATCTTTGTTTATTTGCAGTAACCTAACCTCATACATGAGGCATCTACAAAAGTTCATGTTTTCCTTTTAATTTGTTTGTTTGTTTATTCTTTGGTTATTATGCTTCATTTTTGGCTTTATGGTCACCATTAATGATATAGATCCTGACTGAAAAATGACATAAAAATATACATATGCCCCTCAGACTGAAGCATTAAAAGTAACCATTAGGCCTACAACAATATATCTCCGGTGTACATGCTGTGTATTCACTAAATGGAAAATGAATGCAGTGTGGGTAGATTTATAAGACTAATTAAAACTTATATATCAACTATTGATAAAATAATGACTGTACAACAAGTTATCTCTCGAAGTAGATCAGGTGAGTTTCAAGCTTTTAAAAATCTTTGTTTATTTGCAGTAACCTCACCTCATACATGAGGCATCTACAAAAGTTCCTGTTTTCCTTTTAATTAGTTTGTTTGTTTATTCTTCTTTGGTTATTATGCTTCATTTTTGGCTTTATGGTCACCATTAATGATATAGATCCTGACTGAAAAATGACATAATAATGTACATATGCCCCTCAGACTGAAGCATTAAAAGTAACCATTAGGCCTACAACAATATATCTCCGGTGTACATGCTGTGTATTCACTTAGCTTAACTAAATGGAAAATGAATGCAGTGTGGGTAGATTTATAAGACTAATTAACTTATATATCAACTATTGATAAAATAATGACTGTACAACAAGTTGTAGGCCTACATAATGTTATTAAAGGGATAGTTCACATAAAATGAAAGCTTATGACCAATAACTCACCTTCGAAGAGTTTTTCTTCTGTTGAACATAAAAAAAAGTGATTTAGAAGAATGTTGGTAACTGTTGGCTTCCATCGTACGAAAAAAAATACTGTGGAAGTTAATGGCTACTAGTTACCAGCTTCTTCAAAATATCTTTTTTTATGTTCAACGGAAGAAAGGAACTCATAGATGTTGACAGAATTTTCACATTTGGGTCAACTATTGCTTTAACATTTAGAATGGAATAGAGAGTGAAGAAACTATTTATTTGAATGGAGAAAACTGCTGAAAAAATGCCACACACAATTTTATCAAGCCATAAAAACGTTTTGCATGTTTACATTTGCATGTTTACATTCTACATTTTGTATCACACTCCAGTATACTTTATTTGAGCTGAATGTCAGCACAACAAATACATGTTGTTTTGAATTGCAGGTACGCGAGGTAGACCAGCAATTCAAATAACGCATGACCAAATTGAAATTTTAATGAAACAAGATCACACAGTGAAGCGAATGGCAAGAATATTGGGGTGCTCCTCCTCATTCCTGTACAAGAGGTCCAAGTTGCTTGGTTTGTCAGTCAGGAGCAGAATGGCAGGAGTGGATGATGAAGAACTTGAAAATGTAGTAAGACGACTTCAGTGCCAGTATCCAAATTCTGGGAATGAGGTAAGCCTTGTTGGTCTCACTTTATTTACCTTTCAAAATAACAGAAACAGTGACTCCAACATATTTTTCAAATATTGCCTTTCAAGTTCAATGATTCAAAGTTAAATGATTCAATGTTTTTTCTTTCATCTTTGTATTTAGCCCCCCCCCCCCATGTTATCTAATGTTGTCATAATTTTTCTAATGTTATTGTTGGTTGCCATTAGGAGCTGAATGTCAGCACAACAAATACAAATTTGTTTCTTAAAGTTCATAAAGTAATTAATATAACTTTTTTTTAATATTCAATACACCCATTTTAGATGATGCGAGCCTTGCTGATAGTAGAAGGATTGAGGGTTTCACGGCATAGGGTGCGTGAGATGTTGGTTCGTGTCAACCCGGCAGCTGCTGCAAGGAGATGGAGTAGCACAGTGGCTCGAAGAATGTATCACGTGCCCTTTCCCAACAGTCTGTGGCACATTGATGGCAACATGCGCCTCATAAGGTTAGTTAAATTACAGGTAGTTGAGATTCTGTCAATGCAGCATAAAAATAGCGTGACAGCGCAGACCTGCATTAGCCAATTCTTGCAGGTTAATAGAAACTACAGCCAAATGTAAATGCACACCTGAATACCCCAACCATATATGCGGATTGAGTGTTTAATTTCAGTGAAAAGTTGGTTCTCCTTTCACTGTTGTTTTGGCCATTCCAAAGCTTTTGTAACTGAATATCAATGTATGCAGTAAGATTTGGCCTGTCTGGAATTACAAGAGTAGGTGAAGGCAGTAATTTTTGGCCATATTGTCACTCAGCACAACAAAATTGACTTCTTACATTATTCAGTGTTGTGGTAAATGTTCATTTTAAATATGAGGACTTTAAATATGTAGGTTTGATTTAGTTTGATCAGGTTTAGTTTACAACTAAACCTTTATTCTAAGTGTACAAACAATCATGTACTACAATCTAAAGTAATGGATAAAAAAATGATAAATGAATGATGTAGTCATGAATTAATAAGCGGGTACCTAAGCTGTGTATTTTGTATTCCATGATACTACAGTATATAAATCACCATATGGTCCTGTTTGAAACCGTTTAAAGTTAAAGCATTAAGGCATTTTAGATTTAAGAGTAAGACTTTTTGTAAAGCTGCTTCAAAATAGTGTGTACTGTGATAACTGTACTGTACTAATACAATTGACAATATTAATTATAAATACATTACAAATTGTAATAAGTAAAATTATTATAGGTTGTCTGTAGTATATGTATTACTTCTATAGTACTTATTAAAGTTCTTCTCTTATATATATACTTCCTGATTTCTTGAGTAAAACCTGCTTTTATTCACCATTTATTTCATGGTCTGTTAGAAATTGGACAAGCTGTACTTTATTATTTGTGAGCCCAGTTGTAAAAGTTAACCTGTTTCCAATAAAATATTTAGTGTCTTTTGGGACATCTAGCATAACAGCAAACCTGAAAAAAGTGGAACTTGTTGGTTTTGTTAGTTTCTTCACAAGGTAAATACTTTTTATAACAATTTACTTATATTTGCATTGTCTTTTTATTCCCTTTTAGATGGGGCTTTGTGATTCACGGTGCCATTGATGGATATTCACGACTTATCACGTACCTAAATTGCAACACCGACAACTGTGCCAGCACCGTACTTTCTCAGTGTATACAGGCAACATGCTTTTATGGCCTACCCTCTAGGGTAAGGTCAGATCATGGAGGTGAGAACTTACAAGTGGCCTTCTTCATGAACCTTGTACTAGGACTTCAGCGCCGGAGTCACATCACCGGTGAATCGGTCCACAACCAAAGAATTGAGCATTTGTGGAGGGACGTATTTTTACACATATTGCAACCAATCTATAGCATGTTCTACAGTCTTGATTCTGAACTTTTGGATCCCAGCAATGACATTCACAAACTTTCACTCCACGTAGTTTTTCTTCTACATATACAAAGTAGACTTCAGCACTTCAAAGAGGCATGGAATCACCATGCTTTGCGCACAGAAAATAATAAAACACCAACACAAATATGGACAGAGGGAATGCTCTCAAGGATGGGAACTGACAGCACAGCCATCAACAAAGTGTTTGGAGACAATCCCTATAGGCCTGAAAATTTACATGAACTCCTGGCTCAACATGTCATCGAGTCTTTGCCCACAGCTAAAAATGAAGAGATCCCAGCTGTAACTGTAGTGCAGCCTCAAATAAGCCTTACTCAGCAGCAAATGGAAACTGTTTCCCATGCTCTTGACCATATTACAGATTTGAAGATGAAGTTTCAGGTGTGTTGTGCAGAAATTGCTAATGTTTTGGCAAATTAGTGTTACAGACTCTTTCTTTTTTAACATTTTAATGTGATTTTAACTGTAACATGGCAAAAGTCTGTTGAACATTAAGCTGATGCTTTCAGTAGTCACATACATTGAACAAAGTTGAAATGAAAAACAAGTGGACAAAAATTAAGTAAGACCTGAACAAACTAAAAAATTAAATAATGTAGCAGATTTCCATTATGTCTATGTAAACCATGACTAATTTCTCTTTTTTTCTCAACTGTTCTAGTCTAGATTTAAACTAGTTCAGGCAACACCAAAACCTGGGCTCTGCACAGTTCCTTCTGTCATGTGTTTCTTGAACATTTCATACTTTCAGTAGTCAACGACATTGAACAAAGTTTAAATGAAAAACAAGTGGACAAAAATGAAACAAGACTTGAACTGTAAAAATTTGAGTCATGTAACAGTAACGCATATGCATAATGAAAAACAATTGAGTTTTCTTTTGGAACGAATGCACATCTCAAACATGTATTTGACGTAACAGTGCTTCTTAAAGGGAACAATAAGGTCTACTCTGCTGTAACTGCACCTAAAGTTATTTTATGAACTGTATATGAAAAGCTAACATTAAAACAGTATCTGCTGAAAAAGCCTTTCAGAGAAGAAATGTGGGCCAACTCCTCCATGGACAACACACACAGCAATCATCTTCCCAATTACTGTGTATAACCTAGTCTGCAAAGCTAAAGTAAAACAAAGAAGAAACCTTCATATCAGAAATTCCTATAGAACAATTATTCATGTTTTTAAAAGTTAAAAAAATTCCCCCAATCATCACAGGCTTAATGTTTAGCATTTGGATTCAAGTGATCTGATCATAAGCGGACAGGTAACAAAAAACTGACATCCTTTTTTTTTCTAATGTAACACAGTGATGCACACAGTCCTGAAATCATAGACCTTTACCAATCCAAACAAGTGATTAAGAGAGAGAAATGTATGCAGGGCTCTACACTTACGTTTATTTTTAGGAGCACTTGTGGAGCACAGAAAAAAAAAATTCAGCAGCACCTTCTGATCAATAATCAATTAATCATTTAAGAGGTAATATTTGACTCCCTAAAGTGATTTACAAGGGGCATTTTTGTAACTTTTTAACGTAACTTTATTGAAAGTATGTCATCTTATGTCAAATTCAAAAGTGTATATTTATAAGCTTTTGTAAAAATTTATAATAAAAAAAAAACAGAATAAGAATGTTATTTTACTGATCAAAAACAATAAGTATTAACAAAAATGATTTGCACTACAGAGGTGGCACAGAAGAACACAAAAGTGGCATGTAGGTATATTTACAGACATTTAATGAGGCTCAGAGGTGGCATGAGTGCAATTAAATTCATAAATTCATGTTTAGAATGTTTTAAATATAAAACTGACTGTCTTTATGAAAAATTTAAAGCTTTCACTCATCATCACAATTTCACAAAGTTCCATTATAATCAGTGAATCTCTTATTTACATTGTGTCTACACTTTGCTTGTTATAATGAGAAGATTCGTGACCTTGCATAACTCAGCACATTACTCAACACTGCAAAAACACATTGTAAGTAGAAATCATTGAAGCTCCCCTAGCAAAAATGCTGATTGGGTCAGGCGCACTGGTGCTCCTAAATATTTTTTTCATAGTCGCACGCAGTAGTTTTCAGAAATTGTCACACTGTAGAGCCCTCATTAATGTGATTATGTGGGTAGGTTTTTTTCCTACTATGGCAGTAAATGAAATGGGTAACAGTTACCCATATTTTTCAAAATATCTTTTGTGTTCAACAGTAGAAACTCCGTAGAAAAACAGATTTTGAACAACCTGAGGGTGTTCTAGCATCTGCTAGAATGAGTAAATGGTGAGTAAATTTGATTTTTTTTTAAGAGAACTATCCCTTAAAGTGCACTTGCAAACTCGTAATCCAAATTACGATGCGTTGCACCCGCAGTCCTCTCTGGCGGAATACAGTAGGTTTGTGTGATCCAGAGCAGAATTTATGTTGTTAATCGCAGAAAATATTATCCAGATAATTTTCCCTATCCACTCCATGAACTCGTGAAGGCGCGCGCGCATCATTCAAACATACCTCACCAGAAACACGGCTTGTCGCAATCCGAATAAAGGCTTGGATTTGGGTCTGTTCCTCGCAGTCGTATGGATTCGGAATATTTGGATTACAGAGCACGAATAAAATTGTTTCATTTCGTAATTATGTTGCGTTTTTGGTGTATTTTATAGTTCTGTTGTTAGTCACAGCATGTTGGGAAAAAATGCCTTCTGTGGCCTATGGCAATCAAAGTAAACGTTATATGACAAGTAAAGGTTAAACGATTGCATAAATGTTATTTATTTTAAGGTTTAAAAGTGAAGTCTTGTTTAACATTATGTAGGCATATTCATGGAAACGAGCTGGCAGCAGAAATCACAACAAAACGAAATGTTACCATTTCATAAGTAAACAATTTAATAATGCAATTGAAAACAAGCTAATTCATATGACAACTAAAAACTAATAAAATTAATGCCGCGATTTCAATATTCATAAGGATTCATTTTTAGGTGTCGTCAATACGTCAATTTTGTACGTTTGAATGCTGAAAATACGTAAGTATTTGTACGTTTAGATGCTGAAAATACGTCAGTATTGTACGTTTTAGTGCCTGTAAAAACGTAAGTAAATGTACGTTTTATAGAACAACATGTTACGTAAAATACATACGAATTATCATGAGATCACGTTGTCATAACACACACAATTCTACCATTATATTTAGCATTACAACGTAACCTGACACAAAAGTGTTTTGTTTTGGCAGGCGTACTGACCTTGAGTGTCAAGAGCCAAACTCCGATCTTTCACATGGCCCTGGAAAATCTTTGACTGATGGATGGCATTCATTGAAGGGGCAGTGGCCCCTTCACCTTTCTGCTCAGCATCAACAAAAACTATATCCAGTTTTGCTTCTGGGTTAAATCTTCGCCGCTTAAATGCTTGCAGACTGCACTGCAGTATGTTTTCTCTGCATATGTTGATTTGGTTCACTTTTAGGTTTTCATCAACTTTACTTAGCAGTTTTTTGTAGGTTTGTAGGTCAACCCTGCAAGAGATAAAGATTGGACAGGTTTCAGTCAAATGCTGAACACTTTTGTATGTTTTCAAATATTGCTAGTTGCATAAAGACCCGTTCAGACATACAGAGACTTCCAAGGACAAAGCATTTGCTGGCGGCTTTGGAGACATAGGCTAAGTGACAGCAACCACTGCCTACAGGGTGTAGGCATGTACAGCTATGCAACAAATTTGAGAAAAGTTTAACCGATAGGAGTGAAGACTGTCATTATAGCTCTCATGTAACCCATCTTAAGTGCATGCACAAGAATTTGCAATTCTACTGTTCTATGAGTTGTCTGTAAAGCACAAACATGAATATAATAAAAGGATGTATGGAATGCAGACTGTAGGCAGTCTTATTCTTTGTGTTCTACTGTACTGTACTGCATTCTAACTCTACTGAGTTCTACTAACTCTACTAACTCTACTCTACTGCACTAGACAGGCATCTTTAAATGGTGTTCTCATCTCTTACCTCTTTTTACATTTTAAAAACTTTTATTGAAATTTTTAAAGTGTTGATTCCATTGCCTGAGACTTGTTTTTTATGCATTTTGTGTGAATGGGCTCTGTGGGTTCGATTCATACATTAATAGTTCTTGCTAAATATATGATGCAAAGAGCAGTGTAGCACTGCTGTAGTTAATGTTAACACATTAAAATGATTAAGAACAAACAAATTCATTGATTTTAACTCACATCATTCATCTGGTTCATTTCAGTACAGAGACTAGTGACAAAGTTGCTGTATGTGACACAACTGAAGTTCTTTGCATAAAAAAAATGCATACAAATATTTTTTAAGAATTACTAGTGACTTATAGGAACATACTCATCTATAGGTGCCACATAGTGAAGAGGGGAATCCTGGTAGGAAAGAGTAGGGGAAACAGACCTCTCTTGATCTGTAAGATCAATGACTGATGACTGGGGAGATAGAGGACTAAGTGGTGACTGGTCTTCAAGGAAAATGTCTGATTCCTGGTCAGAGACTAGAGCAACTAGAGTCGGGGGAAAGGGAGGAACAACAGGAGGCTGGGCAGAGGGCAGAGCCACTAGAGGGTGGACAGAGGGCGGAGCCATTAGAGGGTGGACAGAGGGCGGAGCCACTAGAGGCTGGGCAGAGGGCGGCACAACTGGAGCCTGGACTGAGGACAGAGCCATTGAAGACTGAGCAAAGGGAGGAGCTTCTGAAGGCTGGGTAAAGTTTACTGGGTCACAATGTATTTCCTGAAATGAAAAGGACAAAAATACAACAATGAAAAAAAATCATGATTTAATCACTAAGGCTAGGTTAACATTAAAATATTCATGTTCATGTTAATTCACAGTACATAAACTAATGTTAAGGTACAACTTTAAATTTTAATAATGTATTAAAACATTTTTAACTTAACATTAATTAACATTAATAAATGCTATATAATTGTTGTTCATGTTAACTAATATAGTTAAATAATATTAATTCACAACTAACAAACTAAGTATGAACAACATATTTTTACTGTATTTGTGTTATTAAAAAAATGTTTGTTAGTTCATGGTACAGTAACTGATGTACATTAACTATAAATTTTAATTAATAATGTAGTAGTCAATTTTGAACATAATATTAACTAAGATTCATAAATACTATATAAATATAGTTCATGTTAACTTATATAATGTTAAAAACTAAATCCTTATTGAAAAGTGTTACAAACGTTTTATATATTGTGCTCTTTGTGTGTGTGTGTGTGTGTGTGTGTGTGTGTGTGTGTGTGTGTGAGAGAGAAAGAGAGAGAGAGAGACTCGCATTAGTAAATGCTACATAATTATTTTTCATGTTAATTAACATAGTTTTATGTTACTAACTGAAACCTAATTGAAAGCTTGTTGGCTGAGAGAAAACTGAGAGAAACATTACATGCGTTATAAAATCTACTTAACAAAAAGACAGTATAGGACAAAAAATTATTAAAACTTGCCATCATGTATTTCAGTCTGACAACAGATATTATCTAGGCAGTCCGTTAAATAAAGTAATAATAAAACTATTCACGTATGCAAAACGTTTTGTTTAAATGCCTATTATGGCATTAATTGTCTGGTGTCTACTTAACAAAATAACAGTATAGGACAAAAAATTATTAAAACTTGCCATCATGTATTTCAGTCTGACAACAGATATTATCCTAGGCAGTCCGTTAAATAAAGTAATAAAACTATTCACGTATGCAGGATAGTTTTGTTTTGTGTACTAATGCAATACACCAAAAGATGCAGAAACCTGTTCACAGAACAATTAAAGAAAAGAAAAAAATTTAAAAATCACATAGATTTGTTGGATAGACACAAGCAGAATTTTATAAAACTAAAGAGTTGTTATAGGTTTCATGAATTATTCTTTAACAAAATTTAGGCTGGACTAAATGACTATAGGTTAGTCTCCCTGAAATGAGTTTTCATAAATACCTATGGAAACAATCACTGATTCCTGGTGTTAACAAATTAACTATAAATGACAGGTAATTGAGCCCTTAACTAATTTTTTTACTCCGTATTGTTTGGTTAAAGGGATCTTGTTGATTTAAAGAGCAGTTGATCTTTAGGAATGCCAGGATCTTTTCTGTGGTTTATCTGCTCGCAACAATGCCACAATTTCATAACTAAAGTGAAGTAAAAATGATATACATAATTATCCTGTATATCATAAAGCAAACAGGGCGATGCAGCTAGACAGGATAGCGTTTTTAAAAAGAGAATTTACTCATCATAAATACATAAAATATCCAATTTACGTTGCTACTTGCACTCAGAACCTTTAAAGACATTTCCAATTACTTTTAACGGCTTAATGAAAAGAACGGAAGCCTAACAACTGTATTAACGACAATTTTTCATGCAATGTACATAAAAAATTATGGATGAACATTAATTCATAACCTACGATTACATTAGAAAACCAGTCACTTCCTGATATATTAATTTGATTTTATAAGTTATATAACTGACAAACTTAAAAAAATGTTTGTAAATTACTTTGGGCTAGGATAATGAGTTAATCCACCTGCAAAACAAAAAGCTAGTCGTCAGACTTCTTTGGCGCGCTCCTGAAGACCGGTGTGTTTTGAAATGACATATGCCTATTGGTTGGCAAGAAAGAAAAGGCAGAGATTAGCAAAGATTTGAATACACTATTAAGATATCTTCTTTTTTTTTTTTTTTTTGACTAGGCAAGATATCTATAAAGGAATTTTGACTAGTCACATTGTTAATTCCAGATATCTACATTGAAATTCTTCCTAGCCACATAGCTCAATGCAGATATCTCCAAAGAAAGATCTTCCTAGTCAAATATCTGATTGAGATATCCATAATTAAATTGCAGATATCTTTAAATGAGATTTTAATAGGAAGAATTCCAAATCAAGATATCTCATTAATTTTTGCCTAGTCAAAAATCCAATTCAAGATATCTACAACTGTAATTTGACTAGTAATAAATGACTTTCAGATATCTACAAATGTATTTTGGATATCATTAAGAAATCATGAATTAAAGATATCTGCAATATAATTATGACTAGTCAAACACCAGTTAGAGATATCTTGAATTATAATTTTGACTAGTGTGAATTCAGTTAGAGATATCTCTAATTTAATTATCACTAGTAGAATTGTAATTTGAGATATCTCTAATTAGAATTATGCCTAGTACAAAATCAATTATAGATTTCTTTAATTACAATTTCTACTAGTCAAAACTCTTTTGTAGATATCCGAAAATATTTTGCAATGGAAGTCAATGGAGCAATATGACTAGTCGTAATAGCATTGTAGATATCTAGAATGTATATTATGACTAGTCAAAATAACATTGTAGTCATGCATATAATGACTAGTCATAATCACATTGTAGATATCTTAATTCCAATAACGACGAGTCAAAATTGCAGAATAGATATCTGGAATTGGAATTTTGACTAGTCAAAACTAAATTATGACTAGTACAGCGAGGAGTTTTTAATGCTAAAACGGCTTGCAATACGGGCCTCAAATTTAGATTTGAGATGCTCAGATCCTAGCCCGGCCCGTGTCCGACAGCTTATCAGAATTTCCGACCCGAGCCCGTCTTTTTTTCCCCTTCTCCCAAAACAGCTTATAGGCTACTACTGTTCGAGCTATTAAAATAGTTCAGTTTTGTATGTAATGGCAAAGTGATTCACTTCGTTTCGTTTTTTTATTACGTTTTTGTGTTAGAAAAACGTTTGGAGCTTTTTTTGTTTGTTAAATATAAGTTTTTGTTTTTTTAAAGTAACAAACAAGCGGCCAGCGGCAGACAGTGAGCATATGTTTGATCAATTGCAGAGTCTTAACTTTGATAAAGAATATCTCTTTGGTTTTGAGACTTTAGTCTTTGCAACTTCAGGGATCTTATCTATGCACAATCAGCTTATAACACTACTAGGAGAAAGGAAAACTTGAAATCGCATCATATGACCCCTTTAACTGATAGGTTAGCCTATAGCACTGCATCACAAATTCTGCGCACCATCTTCAAACCTCTCGTTTCATTGTGGTGCGTGAGCCGTGATATTTTACATTTCGTGTAATGTTGTAAATGTTTAGACGTTTAATTACGTATTTCTGTTTCAACTGATAGCTAACAGAAGTAAGCACAAGTCTTACAGCAAGAAATCAACGAGACTCCCCAAAACATTAGCTTTCATTCCAGTTAGATATTTGCATACGCATACGCGTGTGTGAGTTTTAACTGATATAGCATGATAGAAGTTAATATTGACAAAAATAAAAGACCGATTAAAGGATTTAGGCTAGTAAATTAAGTGTGAATAACTAAATAACTAATAACTTTTCCTTTGGCTTAGAGGTGATTGTTTAGAAGAAAACTTGTGTAACCTAATTTTAAAGTGAAAAAAAAAGCATATTTATATAGCAAGCCAGAAGTCTTAAGCTTGACAAAAACAAAAGAGTAAATAAAGGAATTACTAAATTAAGTGTGAATAACTAAACTAAACTAAAATAAAAAACAAACATTTTTCCTGTGGCTTTGGCGGCATTTGTTTAGAAGGAAAACTTCTTTAGGCTATCCTAATTTTTAAAGTAAAAAATTTTTCTAATGTTAAAAACAGGTAGAATGTTTTCATCAATTAAGAAATGATGTCGATTTATTAAAAATATTACTTTGTTTAATTATTTTAACATACATTAAATCTATCTTTGCGGTCTCCGGTCTTAGGGATGTGTTAGGGTCGGTTAGTGGGTGTGGTTTGAGTGGGACCGGACATAAACATTCTGTGTTTTGACCGCAGCATGTGATGATGTATCAGCGTAAGATGGGCAGGTCTTTTTTCTTTTGTTTGACTTTCTGTCAGTAACAAGGTTTAGCTTTTTAAAATTGTAGCTAATGGTAGAGTGCAACATAGATTTTGACAAGTATCTTATGCTGGTGTTTTAACGAACATATCTGGAAGGATACTTTTTGTTTTAGATCAGCATTTTTATTTTATTTTCTAACTGGTAACAAACTCTAAATAGTTTTTAAATTGTAACATAGAAAAAGTGCCGTATTGTTTAACGAACTATCTGATACTTTTTTTTGTTTAGATAGATGGTCAGCATTTTTCTTTTTATTTAACTTGTGACAAACTCTAACTAGTTTTAAATTGTATCTAATGGTAGAGTACAACATAGATTTTGACTACGGGCGCTTAACGGTCTGATATTTTTTGTTTTAGATCACGGTAAGATAAGCCAGCATTTTTTCTTTTCTTTTCTAACTAGTAACAAACTCTCAAACTTTTAAATTGTAATGTTACAAGGTTTTGACTGCCATGTACTGTTTAACGAACGTACCTGATACTTTTTTTGTTTGTTTTAGATAGATGGTCAGTAGCCTACTTTTCTTTTTGTTTAACTTTGTCAAACTCGAACTAGTTTTTAAATTAACAACACTTAAATATTCGTCTTGATCCGTTTTTTACTCTTTTCTGGAAAAAAATAGTCAATGTTTGATGTTTTTCTTGAAATGTGTGTAAAAACTTTAATAAAAACGTCCCTTATCCCGTTTAATCATACCACGTTTCACAATTTAAAGTTTAAAGCACATAGTTTTGAACAGTTTCAACTGACCCACACAAAAAACACATTCCCAAACAATCATAAATTCCTTCGGATCGCTGGGGTGGATAAACAGAGGGACAGTTTGATGGGGGGTGTACAGGAACAGGTGTCCAACAGGTGTCCAGTATGGGGGGTGGGGTGGAATTTTTATGACCCTCGTCAATCAAATCTGATGGCACATGGGGCCCTATATTCTCTCTGCAATCTCTTCTATCTCTGGGTCCCCAGGGGGGACGGGGAGTTGTGGACAGGCCAGTCCCGGATCGCACTCACCCTCCTCTCTCGCCAGTGAGCAGCAGTGGGCGTTTCGAGAGTGCTATCAATTGTACTACTCACACACCCTCTGCTCGAACGCAGGTAAGTGTTGCACCGCTTTGGACCCGTCACGAGATGCCCTGGCCGGGTCCCTGCGTTCCTCTTCACTGCCCCACTGCTGGTTCATCGGTGGTTCCGTTGGTGTCACTTGTACGGTATCTGGGAGCCTGGGTAGCGCTGCCCAGTCCGTCTCGTTGGCTCCTTCAGACCATCAGACTCGGCTATGCGATTCAGTTCGCCTGGCGTCCTCCCAAGTTCAGGGGCGTCCACTTCACTTCAGTAAAGGCTGCAGATGCCACTTTCTTGCGTGCAGAGATCGTAGACCTACTGACGAAGGACGCGATAGAGCCGGTCCCTCCAGCCGATATGAAGACGGGGTTTTACAGCCCTTATTTCATTGTACCCAAGAAAGGTGGTGGGTTACGGCCAATCATGGACCTGCGTGTCTTGAATCGGGCCCTTATCAAGCTACCGTTCAAGAAGCGCATCTTCAGGGGCATCCGTCCCCAGGATTGGTTTGCAGCAATAGACCTGAATTACGCGTACTTTCATGTTTCGATCCGTCCACACCACAGACCTTTCCTGCAGTTCAAGTTAGAAGGACAAGCATTTCAGTACAAGGTCCTGCCCTTCGGGCTGTCCCTTTCGCCCCGTGTTTTCACGAAAGTTGCGGAGGCAGCTCTTTTCCCCCTGAGAGAGCAGGGTATTCTCAATTACCTCGATTACTGGCTCATACTAGCTTAATCTCAGGATCAGTTGTGTGAACACAGGGACTTGGTGCTCTCACACCTCAGCCGGTTGGGCCTTCGGGTCAACTAAGAGCAAACTCTTCCCGACGCAGAGAATCTCTTTTCTCGGTATGGAGTTGGATTCGGGCGAACAGACAGCACGCCTCACGCAGGAACGTGCTCAGTCGTGTTGAACTGCTTGAATATGTTCAATCCCAGTTCGTCGGTCACCGTGTGCGTACGCAAAAATCCACGGCAACATTCATATTTATAAATCTTTGATGTGGAAGAGAGCTTAGCGCCACGTCAGGGTCTGAGCAGACGTACGCACTTTTGTTTGCCGGAGTGCTGCAGGATTTTGGAAATATAAGCCATTCTTGCCGCTTGTAAAAGAGTTGGATATGGTCAGGTGCTCTTTTATAAGTCAAATACATTAATTAGACATTGTTTACAGGGCGGAGATCTGAAACTGTTCAGCTGCGCACAATTTCAAGATCATACGCAATTTATAGATTTCACATCTAAAAGAGATGCGCACGTTTTCTGTGCGTACGTTCGTTCTATGAATCACACGTACGCACTTTGAGAAATTATCGTAAAATCAAATTTAGGATTCTTTCTAGGCAGTATTTTATAAATGAGGCCCCTGAGCACCAGAGGAAGAGAAAGGAAAACTTGAAATCGCATCATATCCTTTAAACGTTAAACCTAGATAAATGTGCGCTATATCCAATATTTTGTGCGCAGAGTGGAAGAAGCGCTCTTTGCACCAGTGCGATCACTTGCATTTTTTTCAGTGATTATGCCGTCATTTTTGCTCATAAAAGTAAGAGTAATATATCATTTACAGTTGTAAAGGGTCTACTTTTATTTGTGTGCACTCACAATATCAACAAAACGTTGTGCTTCTATAAAATAAAGAATGATGCGTTTTCTGCCGTCTCATCTTGAACAGGCGCTCTTCACAAAAATGAAACAAAACTCAGCGAATACATGCCTCACACAGACATGATAAATATATCTATAGAAGGCTTTAAATTACTACTTAACGAAATAAAACAATTCAAAAACAAAAACTCTCTCATTATAATCATAATCATAATCCGTAAAGATGCACTTCTCTCTAAAGGCGCGTCTAATGAGGAGATGGCGAGTCAGGATCGGCAAGTTCATCCTTGCAACACCGGCACAGAAAAAACTATTTATTAGTAAATATTACAAATTTTGCAGGACACTAAACACCGTCGAGCCGCTCGTGATAGTCGCGGTAGCATGGTCTCGTGTTATTTCATTTTTTTCATCACTAATTGATGGATATCTAAAATATAAAATAAGGAGAAGCCTAAAACAGGCCCGAGGCCCGGCCCGCGTCTGAACTATGACGTGAAAATTGGCCCGAAGCCCGGCCCGAGGGGGCGTAAAAAAGTCGGGGCTCGTCGGGCCCGGGCTGAAATGCAGTGTTCTACTCCATCCCCCCTATGGGGCCCACACTCTCGATACACTGGTTATGCTTTTGCCTACTCGGCCGCCTGCAGCGCGTCCTCGCGGTGCTGTAGATTAGAAAATGCATGACCTGGAGCGGAGCAGAACGCGGGACCCGAGCGTTTTTAATCCAAGTTGAGCTTGCGCAATTTAGGAATGTACTGAAAAAAGCTTTCGCACGCACACATAAACACGCACGTTAAACATAAAGAAGAGGACAAATCTAGCAGGCAGCCTGAAGCGAAAAAAAGAGGAGGAAAAGAGGAAACAGGACAACGGTAAGCATAGGCACCAATTTATGTTTCTGCCCACACTCTATTCCACTCCAAACCAAATATAAAACATTTTATTCATCATTGTTTCTATAAGCAAATGACAACGGGCTAGGTTGTCATGCAACTACTGTGCCTTAAATATTTTAACATTCCCGTTTTTTACAGCCTAATTCAATAAAAATTATAAGTATTTTTTTCTCCGTTCGATATTGTGCTTGAATTCATTAGGCTACACAAAAGATATTCGTGTCTCGCGAAGACTGCAAATAGCCTACACCACTAAACAAAAAAAATTTTTCATGAGCTTCGCCGCAACTCGTTCACTTGCTGATATACATAAAATAATACAATAAATACCTGTTCAGAATAGGCACTTAATTCAAATAGCTATTAGGCTAAGTATTAAAATAACGAGAATTCACTGACCAAAATCAGCCTGGAAATGCTAACAAAGATCCATCATTTTTTTTACAATTGAAAGGTACTCTGTTATTTCAGCAGTCAGTCATGGAATTCTGGTGGTTGATGGGCTTCTGGCAACATTAAATCCTCCTTCAAATAGATTTGAGTGCACAGGTTTGAGCGTGCACATCCGAGTGAGAGAGAGCGCACGTCTTGTTTTGTGCATTGTTAGATGTGTTTTGTCCACATTTCATATGTTGTATAATTATATCACTAGGTAACAAAGATACATTAACAAAAAAAAATATTTTAGAAGGGCCTCACTGATTAATTTTGCCTGGGGCCCCCACTTCATGTTAGGTACGCCTCTGGGTGTCAGTACTCACCATATTCAGTCATTTCCTTGGCCATTAGGTTAGAGAGTCGGACTTGTAACCTAAAAAGGTTGCGGGTTCGAGTCTCGTACCGGCAGGGATTGTAGGTGGGGGGAGTGAATGTACAGCGCTCGCTCCCACCTTCAATACCACGACTGAGGTGCCCTTGAGCAAGGCACCGACCCCCAACTGCTCCCCGGGCGCCGCAGCATAAATGGCTGCCCACTGCTCCGGGTGTGTGTTCACAGTGTGTGTGTGTTCACTGCTGTGTGTGTGCACTTTGGATGGGATAAATGCAGAGCACTAATTCCGAGTATGGGTCATTCCTGCCCAAATTCCTAAGGTGATGGCACAGCTGATTTGCTCGTTCTAGGAGCTAAACAGATGTATATGTGAAAAATGATAACTGCTGACTTGAAGTAACTATAACTGCTGTCTTTTGAGAGATCAACATCAATGCTGTACCACACATTACTGCATTGCTTGAATACAGACATACCAATGGAAATGTGCAACTTTTCAGCTCTCTGTCTTTCTGTTTGGACACAAGAAGGCCATGTTCATTCCTCATTCATCAGGACTGGTTTGACCAGCTTGCTGTGACTGATTTTCTTTGCCTTTTTGGTCTTCAGCTGTAAAATAAGAAAATATCTATTGACCCCATGTTTAATTATTATTATATTACTACTCTTTTTTTTTTTTTTAAAAAGGGCCTACTTGGCTGCCCACTACTCCGGGCACGGTGTGTGTGTGTGTTCACTGCTGTGAGTGTGCCCTTTGGATGGGATAAATGCATTCCGAGTATGGGTCACCATACTTGGCCACATGTCTCGTCACTTTATCTCAGGAGTTGAAGCCTACAGCCTTTCTGTCCATGCAGCAACTAATGTAATTAATTAATTAATTAATTAGGCTGTAATTAGTGACTGCAAATACTGATTTTATTTGATTCCATCTTTGATGCCTGATAATGAGCTAGTTAAGCTTAAGGGGGCTAATCAATATACAGTATATTTCAAGAAACTAAGACTTAAGGTGAAATAATTTAATACTATAACTTACAGGGTCCTGCAAGAAAAAGACAAGACTCCACGGACAAATCCGTGACCAGAACAGCAGCATATGAACGCAATGCACAAAGTCTCTCGTTAAGCGTTTTCCTCTTGTAGAAAAACATAAACACTTAACATGGCTTAATCTAAGATGCTATTAAAATATCAAATTTAATATACAGTTTATTAATATAATATGTATATAGTATTTTCCTCCCATGCCGCAATGGACTAAAAAGGCCAAACTCAATATGCTCCTCTACATTATTAATATACATAACTAATATGTACAGGCAAGCAGGTGAGCCCAGAATAAATGCAACACGCACAGTTTCGTGTTCGTTTTCCCATATAAAATAAACTGTCTACAGCTCTTCATTGTCTTTGTCCATTAAGTTACATTATGTGTTTTAATTATAAGCACGTTCATATTTGATGGTCTGTATATACTTTGAGTCAACAACAATTCAGGTTACTGAATTGCCTTTATACTCTTAGTCCGTTATTATGCCACATTAAGCGTTTTGCTGTATGGGCGGACAAGTGGAAGTTTGCGCATTGTGTTCATAGCCATCTGTTTGCCTTGTAGTACATTAAATAATAACTATATATAGAATTTGATCTTTTAATTTAACTTAATGTATCTTAATACATTAGGCCATATTAAGTGTATTAAGTGTGCATTAAAAATAATTTAGTATTAAAACTTTTTGTTGCAGGACCCTGTATGTTATAGTACTAAATTAGTTTTAATCATTTAATCACCACAGCGTTTTGTCTCCATTGGCAACATGCACGATTTGTGTCGATTGCA